TTTTGCAACGACCTAATAATATGTGACCCTTGCTAAAGCGAAATTGAAAGTTGCTTTACTATTTGTATTGTTTGGAGGCGATGATTATCTGGAAACAGAACCATCAGGAAAGAAAAATGCTCTGAGCTCCCCCCCCCCAGAGGAAATATAAACGACCACGTGGGTCATTTGAGTGCAGCTTCTCGCCACTTTTGCGGTAGAGCGAATTCGTAATGCAGGTGTAAGAGGGACAGACTAGTTTCACCCTCGATGAAGGTCCTGCGGCCTGCACTAATAGGTGGACGAAGATATCATAGTAAGAAAGTAGTGCGCTTGAAAGCGGCTCTGTGTCCGAAAAATGAAGGAAGGAAGACGAGGTGGGGATAATATGCAACTACAGAGCTCGTATCAGGTACAATAGTTGTGCCCATTGAAGTCGGAAGGCCGCTCTGATTTGGTGGCAAGCGGCACGATTGATCCCCAAAACGTGTAGGATTAATACGCCTAGCAGGACAAAGTTTGGCGGCCGTGAGCAGGCGCTGCTTCGGGTCTTTTCCTGAGAAAGTACCCTTATAGCACCTCATTAAGCTGCAACACACCGACCTGGACGCCCATCGCACCCGCCTGTCCACAAATGTCCGCCGGATGCTGTGCCGTATCGCTTCATTAGCGAAGTACAACATGAAGCGAAGGGATTGATATGAAGCGGATGCATACATGCAGCCATACCTACCGTAGCGGTTGTTGGCACGATGCCAACGGGAAACTCGTCCGAAACTGCTTTCTAAGTCGTGTAGAACAAAGCTTTTTTGCAGGTTTTTGACCGTTTCACTTCGTTTTTTCGCCATTTTCCCACTATATAGCACCCCTGCTACCATTTTAGACCGAGTACCAAATTATCGTGCCTTATGCCTTTAAGGTTGAGTGGGATGCATGTGTCTGATTGGAGGATTATCAGTGACCATGTATCACAACCGAGACGACAAGCGTGGTCCGCCACGCATGATTGTGGTCCCACACAAAATGGGTTTACTTTGGGTGGAGCCGCCGATCGGTGGGCGGGTGTACTGAGGTGAATTATAGCGCTGGCGCTCTCGTCACCTTTTAGTGAACCGCAAAAATGGTACGGTAAATTGTGAACCGTATATTGCCGCCTAACGCCCTCTGCATTCAATATCTTTTATTCTAATGACTGATGAATAATCTTTGAAAATGCAAAAATGCCATCAAATCTTACCATTATCTACATTGTGCAGGAATGGAGTTCAGGGTACAGCATGGGGATGTGTCAAATGGCGGTGTGGGTACGACCCCCACCCCTCGAAGAGGGTCCAGATTACGA